GAAGTGGTCTGGGCTGCTAGGGGTGAGGTATTTTCTTTGTCGAGCGCAGAACCTTCCTATGTATCCCGTAGGGGCACCCAGATCCATTGGCACAGGGCATATTCAGTCCAGCCACGTAGATGCAGAAATCAATTTCCCTCAGTTTAAAATGAGCCACAGTTAATTTCGACCTAATTTATTGGTTTATCGACCTGCGGACCTAGGGCCTTCGAAGAAGTGGCACGGGCTGCCTTCTAGCATTGAAGTGGCCGAGAATGCTATAAATCAGGAAGGCAGGGTCGGTGGCTGCTCAGCTTCAAGATTTGGGTTGCTCCTACCTTATTGTGAGCACCCCCCCTCAGGTTTTTTATTATCCCACGAGGAATGGTCTGCGCGCTTTGGGGTGGATCCCATAAAAACAGGACTTCATAACAATCAGGACCGCCGTGGGGAGTTAAAAATGAGCACAGCATTCTGTTACCTACTGGGTTGATGTTAATAAGAATGGTGACCTCCACGATCGTACCCCTGCTGCTGGCCAAGAGCGGAAAGACCCTGTCTTCCTGGGCTCATGGCAGGTCTTCTAACACCGCCTTCTCTGCTGTTCCGGAGACGCGCTCTGTCTGTGTGGCCCAGCATGTCCACGAGCACATATGGCAGTGGGAGACTTGAAATGGGGCCGGGACAACCGAAGAATTCAATTTATTTTCTTTCACTTAATTTTAATGAATTTAAATTTAAGTGGAAATGGCCACATGTGGCCGTGGGCTGCTGTGTTGGAAGGCATAGCTTTAATGGGTGGCGGGTGGCCTGCTTTTTCCAGTGCTGGGGACCCTCTGCTTTGCCTGGGAGAGACACTGAATTTGCAGCAGAGGCCTGCGTGTGTTCCCCCCGAAAAACAGCTGGGCCAAAGCAAGAGTTGAGGGCTGCAGTCTGAAGCCAGGTTTCCGTGGCTGTGGCCTGCCTGGGTGGGTGTTTGGAAACAGTGGCCTCTCCTGCGTAGGTCAGAATGCATCAGTGGCCGTGGGGGATTGGGGGGTTGCAGTATTCATCTGGTTGGCAGTGGCGTGGGCGGGGGGGAACCTCTGCACGGTTGCCTCCTTCCATCAGTCACTTGGGTGATGAAGGCTGGTCTCTGTGCCTTCACTTTTTTTTTCTTTCTTTTTTTTTTAAAGATTTTATTTATTTATTTGCCAGGGGGAGAGAGAGAGTGTGTGTACAGGAGAGCCCAAGCAGGCAGTAGGCTGGATGTGGGGCTTGATCCCAGGACCTGAGCCAAAGGCAGATGCTTAACCAATGGAGCCCCCCACGGGCGCCCCTGTGCCTTTACTTTTTTTTTTTTTTTAAGATTTTATTATTTATTTGACAGAGAGATCACAAGTAGGCAGAGAGGCAGGCAGAGAGAGAGAGGGGGAAGCAGACTCCCCACTAGTTTGGGAGGAAAATGAAGTTAACTAGCTAATGTGACCAGAGAGGAAGTATCAAAGACCAGGGGCAACTTAGAACCTTAGTTTGGGAGGAAAATGAAGTTAACTAGCTAATGTGACCAGAGAGGAAGTATCAAAGACCAGGGGCAACTTAGAACCTTAGTGTGAGGGGCTGTAACCTAGCCTGGGTGCAGAGAGAGGCCTTTGGAACTTGGAGGACGAATAGGAATTGGGTAGGCTTGGGGGGAGGGTGGCGGGGGCTGGTGAGCAGATAGATCCTGGCATTTGGGAAGGTGATGAAGGGAGAAAGAGAACAGAAGTTCAGTTAGGCTTCTGGGATTTTTTTTTTTTTTTACACTTCTCTTCATGGCTGTTCTTGTGAACTTTTTTTTTTTTTTTAATTTATTTGACAGACAGAGATCACAAGTAGGCAGAGAGGCAGGCAGAGACAGAGGGGGAAGCAGGTTCCCTGCTAAGCAGAGAGCCTGATGCGGGGCTCCATCCTAGGAACCTGGGACCATGACCTGAGCCGAAGGCAGAGGCTTAACCCACTGAGCCACCCAGGAGCCCTTTTGTTAACTATTTTAAATATGATGCCACCTGAATAAAAATGTGGGACACCAAGACCTCTGGGTGGTTTCTGTCTAGCTTCATCTCCAACCCGAGCTCAGGATGGCTTAGGATGGGCAGGACAGAGGAGGGCTGTTTAAAGTCTGATGAAAGGCTCAGGTCTTTTTTTTATATAGCTGTGAGTCTAGCATTAAATTCCTATGCATTTTGATTTCCCTCGGGATATTGCAAGAGCAAGGCTATGTACGTGGGGGCAGAAGGGGATGAGGGCACTGTCTCTGTCTACATTCCCACCCCAATGTTGAGGCTATTTTGGAGGCATGGAGGAAGTGCTGGCTTGTTTACCACACAGATCCTGTTTTGAAGCTAGGAGGGACATCCCGCTGAATTACATAATTCAGCTCCCACCCCTACCCTGGGTGACCTCACCTGGGGCTGCTCCCATCTCATGCTCAGGTGGGCATCCTGAAGGGGGCAGGGGATGATCAGGGCTTCAAGATCTCTTTTTATTTCACATATGAAGAAACCAATGCCCAGAGAGGCGAGATGAGCAGGACAAAAATCACATGACCACTTGGTTGCAAAGCTGGGCCTAGAATACCTGTCTCCAATGCACCTGCCGGTAATACTTCTATCTGGGGCCTTTACAATTGTACTTATTCTATCTCCATGATTCTGATACTCTGAGCGGTACTGTGTGACAGATAGGGATTAAGATATCTTTTTTTTTTTTGATAAGAAAACCGAAGCTTATAGTGTTTATTTGCCCAAGTCCTCAAAGTTAGAAAGTAGTTCTCCTAACTCAAAATTCAGCGCATTTTCCACTCTGCGCTGTGCTTAGGAGGCACACACGATCTCAGGCTTTGCCGATTATCCACCTGAGAATGGCCTGGAATGTAGATAATGACTACAGAGGAAGGCTTTCAAGGAGTAAATTAACCATGTTTGAGCATTCTTGCCAGCCCTCCAGCTTCCAAGTTGCGTATCGAAATCAAAATCAGCAAGTAGCTCTCCTGCAAATTGCCATCTCAACCTCAAGCCAGCAGTTTGTGGGTCTGTGTAGGGCGGGGGGAAGTGTCTCTTTGTCTTCAAATCCACGCTTAGGGGACACGTGTCTCTGTTTCCTGCTGGGACGCTGACACTTGCTCTTGCGGAGAAGGCTGTCATTAACTGTACGTTGGCAGAAACAATAATTGAATCATCTGTGGGGTGTTGTGACTCTAGCCACATTCCTCTCATTTTCCCTTGGGGGTTACATGGGGGTAGCAGCGTCTTTGCTGTTGGTCCCGGAGGCGGCAGGGTGGTCCCCTCCTGGTAAGGTGGCCCTGACAAGACAACGCTGGTCTAGATTGCGAGTGGGAGCCGACGGTGGTTCCGTGTCTTTCCCAGAGGATAAATGATTTGCTTGGTAGGGAGAGCTGAGTGGTTCTACGATGATGTTGAGGTGGACAGAAAGTGGGATGTGCGGGGAACCTGACTCGGGGAGAAAACTGGAGTTGGGAAGAGGAAGGGGACTCCACATCCTGAGGCCAGGTTCCCCAAAAGTCTGGCTGGTCTGGCTGGCTCTGGGGTGGGGGGGCGCGTGTTATCGGGGAGGGTGGCAGAATGCAGGGTTCAAGGAGGTGAGAAATGGCTATCCCTCCTTTGGCAGGGTGGTGCTGGGCAGGGAAGGAGCCCCAGTAAGCTAACCAGAGAGGACTTTGGGGCAGGGGGGGCGAAATCAAGCAGCCATGGTTTGTGGAGAACAAGGAGCATTTTGGGGGAGCTGAACTGATCACCCCCTCCTCCCTTGAAACCAAGGACTTGTACAACCATAGCAGTCTTCTCACCTTTAGCCCTGCTCCTTCTTCTGTCTTTAGTCTTATCAGAAACCAGGATCTGTGTCCAGAGCACCGTCAAATACAAAATGTTAGAGAGGATAGGCCACGGTGGATAGGCCTTGGCCCTTCCTACAAATCTGCAAACACTTTTTACCTCGGGTGTGCCTCAGCAGTTCCCACTGTAGGAGGAGTATCTCGTGGTTCAGAGAGGGTCTGGATCCTCAAGCTGAATTTAGGATTAAGGTGGGTCCCCTTCACTCCTTGAGGGTCTGTCCCTCCTACCCACAGTGACAAGCTTTACAGGCTTGGAGAAGACTTGGAGCCGGTGCAGAATGCAGGCTGTACGGACTCGTGAATATGTCCATTTTGCAGCAGAGGTAGGCTGGCTCCGTGCTGGGTCACCTGCAGGGTCACAAGCAAGCCCCCGAGCCAGGGCCTGGGTTATGCACAGGTATTCCCGTGTGCAAGGAACCCTGTATAACTGCGTACCCGTCCGGGCATGGCAAGTCCCTTGTCAGAGGTACCCTCGCTGTACCGCCTCTGTGCAGGGGGCACAGTGACTGTGCTCGATGCCCGAGCAGTTTAGCTTGATCCTGGGTAGTTTTTGGCTGCGGCCACTTCAGGTACGTTTTGATGCCCAGAGTAGTAGAAACCATGTGAGTTTCACAATGGGGGCGGGTTCATCCGGCTTCTGATTTGCCGGCTGCCGCGTTCTGCGTGTTCAGAGCGAATTTTCTTTGGCTCCGGGCTGTCCCTCGGAGGTGGGGATGCGGCGGGGGCCCGGGGAGGTGGTCCCGCGACCGGACGCGACCCGGGGCTGCTGCAGTCAGGGAAGGAGACCCTCCGCGGTTTAGGACGACCTCGACGCGACCCGGGACAGGAGGCAACTAACTCCGGGGAAGACGAGCGAGCCCCAGCCCAACTCTCGGTTGCCGCAGGGCGGACGACGCGGTGCGCCGGCCGGCGGGCATGGGAACGCACCCCAGCGGGCGCTCGCTGCCTTGACCTCCCCATCCCCGCGCGGGGGAGGGGCCCGAGCGGCGCCGAGGCCGCCGAGCGCGGAAAGTGCGCGAAGCGGACGCCGCTGCGAGCCGCACACGTGACGGCGCCGCGCCGAGCCGAGCGGGACCTGGCGGCGGCGGCGGCGGCGGGCGCAGCGGGGCGACTCCGAGCGGCGCGGGCGGCCTGGAGCCCCGGGAGCGGCGCGCGCGGCCCCAGCCCAGCCGCCGTCCCGGCCTCGCGCTGCACATTCTCTCCTGGCGGCGGCGCCACCTGCGGCAGCGTTCGCCCGAACATGGCGACACGGAGCAGCAGGAGGGAGTCGCGACTCCCCTTCCTATTCACCCTGGTCGCGCTGCTGCCGCCCGGGGCTCTGTGCGAGGTGTGGACGCAGACGCTGCCCGGCGGCCGCACGCCCCTGCCCCAGAACCGGGGCTTCCGCGTGGTGCAGGGCGAGCCGCGCGAGCTGCGGCTGTGGGCGCGCGGGGGGCCCCGGGGGGCGGACGAGAAGCCGCTCCGGAGGAGACGGAGCGCTGCCCTGCAGCCGGAGCCCATCAAGGTGTACGGACAGGTGAGCGGCCGGCCACCCACCCGCCTTCCCCCGGCTCTCTCCTCTCCCCGCACTTCCTCAGCCCAGCATCCATCCTCCGCGGCCGCCTCCTAGGTGCCGGCGCCCCTGGGGACTTCCCGGCTTGCGATTGTGTCCCCCCCCCCTCCCCCCGCAGGAGTGTGACCGTTCGCACTTGAATTGCATTGATCTTTCCTCCTTCCTGTCGATTTTAGCAAACGTCTTCCAGGTAACTCGCGGGGTGCAGTGCCCATTTCCGCAGGGTGTGTGCACACCCGTGTAGTTTCCAGCAGGTAGAGGAGGGGTGCAGCTGCATTTTACATGGGGGTGAAAAACCGGGTTTCTTTAGTGTGCCGTCAGTTGGCAGTGGGGGCGAGGGCAGCCTGCGGTTGCAGTATACTTACACACGGAGCACTGAGGGGAGGGGGACTCCATGCCGACCGTTTTTAACCACAGTTAAGGTGGGCAAACCCGAAAGCGTGACTTTCTTGCTCTGCCCAGAGCAAGAGGGGTGTATGTGTGTGTGTGTGTGTGTGTGTGTGTGTGTGTAAGGGCTGGATTTTGTTGTTGTTTGTTGGGGGAGGGAGGGTCTGTCCTTTCTTTCCACCTTCCCTTTTGAGATACTGACTTTATTTTTGGATAAGAATATTAACTCATGGCCCTTAGGGATTTGAAAGACTACAAGAATTTGGTGGGCATTGTTAATCAGCAAATGATTTATTTCTGTCCAGGCAATGGGCTTATTAGATCATGAGTAACATGAATTTCACTTTTATGGCCAGACTTACTGCTAGGAATAGCAGACCGAGTTTGTGGGTTCGTATCGGCATTGGCAAAATTCATTTGACACTATTATCGCCTCATGAGACTCCTAGCCCTGTGGTTAAGGTTGACATCAGCAAAACTAGAAGGTCAGTGGGGAAGAAAAAGTGGGACCAGAGGAGATGGTAAATGACATGGTTTCTAGAGTCAGAATGTTCCCATTTAAAGCAGAAGTTAAAAGGTTAGTGTGAATTCTGCCCCTCTTCACTGATTCTCTTTAGCCATTTCTTCAGGAAACGTAGAGAGTTAAATGTTCAACCCTTAGAGCCAGGAAGGACCTTATAAACCATCTCACTGATTGTGCCATTTTGTTGATGACCAAACTCTGGCTGGGAAAAGTGAAATGACTAGCCCAAGGTCACATGGGGCAGGGTTGCCTGGTGTTTAGTTTTTGTTGGCATCATCTCAGTGACCTTTGGGTGATCAAATAAACTCTCTTTATACAATGCTCCCTAAATAATTCTTTTCTAAAATAAAAAAAATATATGGCTCTTAAGGGGTAGGGGATGGTGGCAAGTGGGTGGGAGCACTTGACTTCCATCTACCACCAGGCCCTGGGAAAGAGCGTGTGCAGAGGTGCGTGTAAACTGCTGTGGGCCAAGGCTGCTGGGGCCTGCCTGCCGGCTCCGTTCGTGTGTGGGTCCTGACCTTCTTCCCCGCTGCACCCTCATGAGAGACTTCTTTTTGTATGTGGAAAAGAAGACAGCAAGGTCGTCATTCTCGACTGGGACGGCAGCATCCTGGTGTTGAGTAGGGGAGGGAAAAAGAGAGACTGCCTTGTTCATGGAGCCTTCCTGGCTATCCAGCTCTGCTGTGGGCTTGAGTCAGCTCTCTGGGGGCTGGGAGCAGGAGGGAGGGGAGGGAGTCAATTCTTCCTGGAGCCCAGGTCCCCTGTAGCTGTAGTCTTGGCTGAGGGCAGAGCATCCCAGTCCAAACAGTATGTGTACAGGTAGGTACCATTTCTTCCTTGGGTTTGATTTGTGAACCAGCCCGACTGAGTTTGGTTCAGCTGAAGGATGGAGAGGTAGCTGTTGAACCAGTAATGAGGAATTCCTACCAAGGGTGAAAGCCCCGGGCAGTGTTTTCTCTGAGGGCCCAAGGTTAATAAAAGAGGCATTAACTTGAATCTTCAAGGATCTCAGTTAGATAGAAGGAAGAACTTCCTGGTCCTGGGCTTTCTGCCACAAACACATCTGACAAAGCCCCTTTAGGCTGCAGGTGCAGGAGTCAGGGACTCCAAGGGGTTTGGTGCCCCTCTTGGAGCTCTCTTTGGAATGACCTTTCTAGCAAGGGTGACCATTTGCCTCTGTTTTCTCTGGGACAGACCTAGTTTATAAGTTGTCCCTGCTGCTTATGAAAGCGCTGTCCTCGCTCTTACATGTGAGAACGCAAAGCATAAATCATATGGCCATTCTGCTTCTAGCTCTAAGCCAAGTTCCATTTCATCCCCCCTCCGCTTTCACTTTTTAAACCCTGAGGAATTGCAGTGTTCTCCCATCTTATCGCTTGAAGGGAGTGTGGCTGTAAATAGAGATGGCGGTGCGAAGGGCGAAGGAGGGAGGGCAGGGAATTTTTCATCCCTGCTTTCAGAAAGTTTACAGTTTAAGGCGCAGATAAAGCAGGTGCAGTTGCAGACACGTGCTGGGCGGGAGCAAATACACAGGCACAATAGAGGGGACTTATGGCTCTATAGTCGGGCTTTAGAGGGTAGTGTGATATGGGAGGGCTCCGGAGATGGTGGGATAAGGTCAGCGGGCTCAGACACTCTGCAGCTTCTTGCCCTCTGACCTTTGAGTGAGGTTAAGAGGATGCCTGGCAACACAGATTAGGGCTGGAGGCAGAGGCTGCCTGATGGAAGAAGCTGGAGGGGTGATGTTAAGGCCACCAGCTTCGGGATGAGCTTTTGCAGGGGGATACCTGCCTGCCGCTGAGAAGGAGCCCGGTGTTGGCATGTCGGTTCTTTTTCTTCGGCTTCGCTAACCTACGGAGTAAACGATCTTGTGATCGTTTTTATCTTCATGTTCTCTAATGTGGGGGACTGGCTTCTGCCACGATTCCTTGCAGACATGTTTGTAATAATAAAGTCTGGTAAGAGTAGTGAACACAAGTTACTATGAGATATTAGGACTTTTCTGCCCAAGTTCTGGGGTTAGAAGTTGAGCCCCTTCTAAAGGGGGCTGAGTCCAAGAAGGGGAATTCCATAATTCTTGCTACACGGAGTTTCTTTTCTGACTTTGTGTTCACTCCATGCCTCTGTAGCATCATGTTTGCTTTTCCTCAGCCTGAGATGGTCTTCCCCACTCCTGTGTTGGCTTGCAGAACCCCAGTTCCCTTCTTTGGCAGCCAAGGAACACCTCCTAGGATTCCCAGGCTCCAGTGGCAAGAGTTCTTTTGAGCTTGGTTACAGCACTAACAGCCTCGTGTCATAATTGCTTGTTTGTCTGTCTCATCTCTCTCTTTGCTCCTTGGGGGCATGGATCAAGCCTTGTTCTTCTCTGTGACTGGCACTGGGGAGGCCGTTAGTGAATAATTTGTGGACCGACTGCCCACTTGGAAGAGGAGAAGCCTGGAGGGTAGGAAGCACATGCAAGTTACAGAAAAGGTATTTATAAGAAGGACCACGGTGAGCCCCCAGACAGAGAGTGAAAATGAGTTGGTTTTCTCGGTGGTGAGGATAGGGGAGTCCTGCTTTTGCTGTGCTGTCCTTGAGGTTATTTTGAATAAAGAACTGGGGTTCTGTTGTACAGAATTCTCCCTTTTAGGGCCATCATGGTATTGCTAATGGTATTGTTTTGGGGAAAAATCCTTTGGAATGAAGCGCGAAGCCCAACAGGATTTACAGGTTTGTTTTCCTTCCAGTGAGCTCTCTCTTCATAATTCCTGCTTTTTAGAGGCCAGAAGTATTCAGTGTCCTGACTTGAGACTGAAAAATAAAGTGTCTATTACAGCACGAGGCCCTGGGACAAAGAGCCTCCTTTGGGGATGAAATACCGTGTAGCTTTAGATCTTTCTCGAGGAGATTCTTACATGATACGCTTGCTTGGGGAAGAATTGGCTGGTTGATTCTGAAGTTAGGATGTCTGACCTGCTTGCTTCCAGAAGATGAGAAGGCAAAGCATGTGCTGTTTCACGTTGGCTTCTACGTAGGTGAGGAGTTGCCGGGCGTGTTGGGTTGGCTCAGTAAAGAACGTGACCTTGAAAACCTTCCCGGTTCCACTTGGCATCTCTTCTTGGTGCGTGGGGCCTCTTTGCTCAGTCTCTGGCTACCATTTAGTTCATCAGGAGCTTGTACGTCTTGGGGGATGGTGGGCAGAGGCTGTGAGAGGTGGGAGGAGTGGGAGGGAGAGGGGACAGGGGAGGGGTGAGGAGATGGGAGATGTAAACAGATGAAACGAAAAGGCGTCCAACGTATCTATTTAGCCTTCAGGGGGTAATACGTGTCTGCAAGATAAAATATGTATGAGAATACAGTGAGAAGTAAATTGCCCTCCCTCTCGTGTCCCCCGTTTATGTGTTGCCTCTTCTCAGTTGGCAACTGCTATCCTCTGTTTTTCTGTATGTCTTTCCAGAAACATTCTATGCATGTAATGGCACAGAGGTGCAGAAGATTCGGAATTGGTAAGATCAGTGCATTCTGTGATCCGTAGCCACTGACAGCATGAATGATGAGGTTAACTCTTGCTCCACAATGTGTTTGTGGCATTCGACTGTCAAAAGTAGGGAGTTACGTGAAGTGTCGTAGAGTAGGGGGGCGTGTTACTTTCCCTCCAGGCCTGGGAAGGAAGACGGCCTCTCGTCGCACTTCGAGGCTTCCTGCCCGCCAGGAGAGCCACCTCATGGCCCTGGTTCTGGAGCAGCCTGCTGGAGAGCAGTTCCCTAGAGGCGAAGAGCCCAGGTCTGTGAAAATGTCAGAACCGAGAGGCCACGGATCTTGCTTTGAACTCGTGTTCCTTTCGGGAATGGTTTCTTTATAGTCTGTAAAATAAAGTTAATGGTATGTTTAGTCGATTGCTTTGAGACCTGGGATCCAGGAGGCCCATCCTAACCACAACTCGTGTCCCAAAGCCAAAGGCTGATGTCGTCGGGTCCTTTCATTGTCGTATTTTTGGTCTGTTCCTCCTTAAAGATGACAGCCATCTTCGTGTCGTCCTTGTGTCATCCCAGAGCCACAGAGAGACAGA